ATGTATGTAACACATATACTTTGCATGTGTTCATCGGGAAGATTATGAAACAAAATGGACGGTGTGTACCACGTGACTTTCGTAAACCAAGGAGCGGAATGTCGCAACTCTTTATATATATGGCTCTGGAAAATATCGTAATGTAGCGCCCTCTATAATTCAACTCTTTTTGTCCAAAACTCCTATTCGTGAAGATACCGTGTGATGAGAGTGATTGTTGTATGCCATAAAATCTTCTGTCATACATTCAGAGCTTTTGGGGTTTCATTGTTGAGTTTGCTTTGAAACCAAAATGAAACCAAAACAAATTAAAACGAGCGTAGACAGCAATGATAGCAATTTTATTGTACTTTATAAAAGGATATAAATATAGTACTGTAAAATATTCATTTTGTGCATAAGGTGTCTATATAGTTAATACTATTAAGTTTGAATCAACCAACCAAAGCACTGGAACCATGTCATGAAACCTATTCCGTGTACACCAAGTTCTTCCCTTATAATTGTTATGTTGTGTAATAATAAACTATAGTTTTAAATTGTGAAATTTGTACATAAGGTATGCAGCTGTATATAGTTGTAAATGATAAAATAAATGTGAACTGGCTTGCTATACAATACCTTGTGCTGCTGTAAATATGTGTATGAGAGGTGAAGGTGAACTCTGCGGGTATAAATCTTCGTATATTTATCTTCGTATTTTCTCCTTATTAGATGTAGGCCAAATCGTTGGTTTTGGTATGAACGGGCTAATTTGAAAGCAAAGGTGATGAAAAAAGCTTCCTAAATTATGCCAGAGAGTTTCTACTAGTGTTCATAGATTAAGTGAGTGGGACTTGAGATCACTGTACATTCTTTTGGCCTAGTATAACGGAAATTCCCTATTGTGTCGGTATTCCATTTGTCTTGACAGTGTAAAAATTATATAATACCTTATACTGCCACATCAGATAAAAAAAAACACTGGTGTAAACATGGGTGTGACACAGGATAACATTGACAAAAATAATAATAATAATAATAACACTATCCTCTCGAAAATCTGTAATTTTAAAGTACTGAAAAAAATCTGGATTTCCTAATTAGACTAGAGGATTGTTTCCAATAGGGTCTAGAAAACATTTTTAAAACAATTTTCAAGAAAACAAAACAATAATCACAAGACAATAAAAGGGTTGTAAAAATGGTCAACGGTTAGGTCTTAATAAATATAATCATTGACCGCAAGAGAAACATAACGATCTAAATAAAATGCCGCCAATGGTGCGACGTCATTGTTGAAAACGCAGTGAAGTTGGTGAGGTAACATTTATTACTTTGTCTTGAATATGAATTAAAATCCTATTACGGCACTAACGTATAAGCATGCAAATATTTCAGTAAGGGGCTTACCCAATATATTAAAAAATATATTTGAGAAGCAAATTTTACAAATATTCTCAGTTTTTAATTCAGAAGAAAAATTATAGATTTTCTGGGAAAATTATATTCTATTTTGGAAGAGGGAAATTGGCCTTCAAGATTGGATTTTAGGTAGACTTGGGATGCCTGCTGAGTCATTGCGACATGTTTCCAATAACAAATACAGTATAAAATTCAAAATGCCACAACTACGAACTAATTAAAGGCAATCTTCTGTCACATGTTCAATGTGTTATTTTGTCCGTAGTAGTAATATGTATTTTCTGATTGCTTTAGTATTTGTTTCAATTGTATTGCTTGAAAAAGTCACCGTCATTTTTCACTTTTCGATTGGTGCTATGATGACCGCCCACCGCGTAGAGGCTGCATTTTTACACCTCTAGCGACTTCGTTGGCTTTAAATTGCCATTTCGGCTGTTCACCAATCAAATATCTTGTTGTTCATCCCCCTCCCCCACCCCGCCCAGTAAACGGAAAGCTGAATATTCATAGATTCTTCTCATATAAAATATATCAATTCCCATTAAATGAAAAAAAAAATCACCATCAAAACACTAATTTCAATATGAATTGAATTAACAATCCTGTCTAGGAATTATGCCCGCAAAAAAAAATAAAAATAAAAAAAAATGTGGTTCGTGTGTTAATCGAACACACAACATCCAGGTTTGCTATTTATTATCCACTATCAACTAAACTGCCTTAAAAAATTTAAAAAAAAATGGTTCGTGTGGGAATTGAACACACAACCACCAGGTTTGCTATTCATTATCCACCTTCACTCTTAAAAAAAATGGGTTCGTGTGGGAATCGAACCCACAACCTCCAGGTTTGCTATCATTATCCACCATCAACTAAACTGCTTTAAAAAAATTAAAAAAAAAAAAACCTGGCTCATGTGAGAATCGAACCCACGACCTTAAAAAAATAAATAAATAAATAAAAAACTTGCCCCGTGTGGGAATCGAACCCACGATCGCTGAGTTTACTACCCTGATCCAGCATGACTAAACCGCGGCCCCTAAGCCATAAATGCAATAAACCTAGTACCACACCAAGTACCTGTTAGTCAACCTATTAGAAAAAATTTAATATTACGTATGGTCATGGTGTAAAAAAAAAATAGGCCGTGGGCCAAGAGGGTTTATTTTTTGTCTAAAAATATATAATTCAATTTATAATCGATTTATGATTGTTACCATCTCCATAACTTACACACTTTTTTTTTTAAATAGACAAAAATGTTGGAAAAATCATTATGCAAATTAAAAAAAAAAATAGACCAATCATGTTACGGGATTGATTGTATTGTACTCGTTGATGACGTCGCGAATTGCGAAATAACAACAAACAACAACCTTTCATGTCCCAGCCTAGGAACCACTCAATTCGAGCGGATGCCACCGAAGGATAGAAACGGTCGAAAAATACATGGAGAACGATCTGGCGTTCAACGAGGAACAGGAATGGTTCCTCGACTTCGGTCGTCGACAAACCCGTGTCGCCGACCGAACTAGATCGCGCGTTCGCCCACATCATGGAAGATTTGAATGAGGAAACGTTGTAATTTGAAAACTATTGAATTAATTACTGCAATAAAAAAAAATTAAAAACTTGAAACGTTGTATTTTGTTTGCTTGTGTTATTTATTTTCATTTTCATTAATAAAATACATCGAAATCTTTGTCGTGTCCGCCGCCGCAATCGAAGACGTGCTGCATCAACGAAGCGTGTTCCATGACGGTGTAAGCTTTGAAACACCTGGGACATCTCAACGGCTCTTCTTCCTCCTCTTCCTCCTCGTACGAAACTTCCCCGACGGCGGCACTTTCGTTTGTTTTTGCGAAACGCAAGTCATCAAGCTCTCGGCATTTCTTATCCAGGCCCATGCGCAGTTCGCGGCAATCCCTCTCCAACATTTCGTTCCTCGCTGAAAGCGACTGGATTTCTCCCGTAAGCTTGATGACGTGCGCTTCACGTTGATCCGAGTAACGTTGCCATCTGGTGTTTATGCTTATGACTTCCTTCAGCTGTTTCGAAAGTTCGGCGTTTTCCCTTGCCAAGCTCGACACTTGTTCCTCCAAGACCTTGCATCGATCTTCCGATGAGAGAGACCCACAATTTCTCTGTTCGCCGACATCCTTTTCCCTTCGTTCGTAATCCCTCGGCTCCCGAGCCACGTCGATCTTGCCCGTTACCAGATCGTCGATCTTCGATCTCATCCGTTTGATCTCGCGGCAGAGCGTTCGGCAGACGTCGTCGGCGTAACTGCGCTGTCCGTAGCACTCATTCAGCTCCGACGTCAGTTTTCTAATCGCGACGTCCTTTTCCGAGTCGGAAGAATTCGTAGCGCTCAGGTACTCGGTCAGCTCCTTATCTTTCGTACGGACCTCGAACGAAAGTTCGGCTATCCTTTTCCTGAGAGCGGCGATCGTCTTCTTCGCTTCCGCCACTTCCTCGGAACTGTAATTCGAGTTGAGGACGGTTCGCAATCGCACGTTGTCCCTCAGCAGTTGGTCGAGAACCTCCTTGTCGTGCCCGGGCACGAACAATTTGTGCTCTTTGAGATCGACCGACGAATCGAGTTTGGGTCTGTGCAGTCTGAATTGCAATTGCTCGATGTTTAGGTTCTTCTTCTTGAGTTCCAGTTTCAACGAATCGATCGAACCTCCATAGTCGTTCAGCAAAAGCTTCAGCACGTCGATGCTCTGCACGACGGTTTTCAGGAAAACGATTTCTTCTTCTTTCTTTCGCAGCCGGTCCGATTCGGAGGAGGCTCCGCCGACACATACATCGTCGGTGCTCTTTGTCGCAGTCGTCGTCCGGCCAAGTGTCTCGTTCATGTCGTTAGCTCTACGAGTGTGATGGAATCACTTTAACTCGACTTTTATTTCGACTTCGTTGTACGGTGAGCGTACGTCATCGGTTCTTGACTTGACGTCACGAGCTCATGGGTAGGCCAAAGTAAGCTTTTATAAAAATAAACAGATTGTAATAGATGTTTTGCGTGTGTGTGTATATAATTTTCGATTTTCCCCTTTTTAAAATAAAGTCCTGTTTCAAACCCTTCCTCTTTCGTCAGTCGTTACATAAGTCAAACACTATCAGGCTAACAAGAACAGCAAACCAATAGTCTAATTTGCTATTTTTTCTAGCAAAAACTTTATTTCGTTGAAAAGATATTCGAAAATACACGGATTATGATTACAGCTATCGCGTTGAACTAATCGTATTTTCCTGCATTATAATCATTTAATTTCAAAACGAGATCGTCCCTTTTTAAATACTCAGCAATTTCAAACAGAAAAAAATCAACCTGTCGAGGTCTGATCACTGTCAGTTTTTCCAATTCAACCATTAACCTTATGGCTTCCTTTAGTCGTCCAACAGTTCTTGCGGGTATGATTGATTTCAATCTCGCTTTCAGCGATTTCAACTCTTCGTTGATTCCAGAAGCAAAATCAAGTATCATGGCCCTATGGGGGAAAAAACAATATTAAATTAGCTCGGCAATCATTGGCGAGAAAAAAAAAATTTTTTTTGCTCCAAAGATAAACGATTAAATAAAAAAGGGAATTACATACCTATAGGGTAAAATTATCTTTTTACCGAGTCCTTCCGTGCTCCCTCGAAAGTCCAAAACCTGGCGTTGAAGTTCCGAACGCCCTATCAGTCCCAGAAGCTCGATAAGTATTTCCAATCTCGATGAATAAAGTAATGCTCTATCCTCTAGTTTATTCATTAACTCAAGGCTTCGGGTAAGTTTATCCAACTCGCCATGTCTGAGACCGATGCTCTCATCCAGGAATAAGTACTTCAGAGCCACAACATCTCGATCCTCGAGGTACCTCGAGGTACCAACATCCCGCGATACGCTGATTCGTCTTGCCCGGCCATTGCTGCGTTTTAACGGATGGACAGGTTCCGGCGCTTATTTATAAACCAACTATAACGATGACGTCATGTGTACTTGGGACCTTGACGTCATCCGTACGCCCTTATTTGAAAGCATCGATAGGCCGGTAACGATGACGTCATGGGTACTTAGAAAACGTCAGCTGACTAATCCCTATATATACTCGTGAATCATCACGAAACGATATCAGCGAACCTCGACGCCATGGCAGAGAAGACGAACAGAAGAATCATAGCCAGAATGGTTAAGATTTTCACCGAAGATAACATATTGTTGGAAAACCTGCTGGCCGCCAATCGAGGTCGCATCTTGACGGTGGCATTCTGTAACGCGAAACAAATCTCTCTTGAGGTGGCGTTCTCCGCTAAGGAGACTGGAGGCGGGAGACACTACGAATGCTTTGCCTGGACCAAGGTGGACGGAGTGAGGTGTGTGGGCAGGCAAGGAACCATCGAAGACCCGCACACGCTTCTGAATATGTACGGCGTGTCGAATGCCTCGTTGGAATTGGAGGAATACGCCGTCAGACTCGGCACAATAGGAGACGACATGCCGTCCATCGACAGGGACGCCGACAGGATCGTCGCGATGGCGATGGCCGTGAAGGACGAGGAAGATCTGCTGGAGCCGTTTCGAAAAAAGCAGGTGCTTTGGCAATTCAACGAAACTTTGAGATTGTCCGTCACGTTCATCAGAAGTGAAAGGGACGTGCGTCCGTACGTCCGTTGTTACTGCGGCTTCGTTCGAGAGAACGGACAACTGTTTACTGCGGAAACTCTACTGCTGAAGGCAATGAACGAGTGGTTGACGACTGAAGCAAAATTCGCCTTCGTTCCCAACATGATGCTTCTGAACAAAGGACACGCCTTTCCCAACTCCATCGCCGTTGGTTTTGCTGTGCGTAAGAGGAGCTGCGGCACGATAGACGACGCCGAGTTAAAGAGAATGAGAACGGTCGTTCAAAACGACCACGATTACGCCTCGTCCGAATAACTGTATATATTTGTAATTGTTTAAATAAATACGATTGTACATATAGTTGATTTTGAATAAAAAAAGAAAGAAAAGAAAAGTATATTTTTTGTCTCTTTACTCTTTTACTGTTTCCGACCGACTATAACAAACGTGATGCTGTTGTAAGTCGGATAGTTTAGTTGTTCCTTTACACATCCTTACTTAAACGAGAAGTTACTCTAGTCACTTTTAACTCGTGTGAAAAATAATCGATAGACCACTTGTCGTTCTGCTAAGGACCACTTCGAGCGAAGGCCAATTTGAGCGAATTCGAGCGAATTTTTTTTTCGAGCGGATGCAGTGGTATATAACTGTTTGTTATTTTCATGTGTTTATATGGGGTTTAATGATTTATCGATTGTGAAGGTTGTGATAATTATTGGAAATATAATTTATTTATTCATTCTATTAATAGGTAAAATAAGTTTGAATAATTATTGATGAGAGTGATTGTTGTATGCCATAAAATCTTCTGTCATACATGCAGAGCTTTTGGGGTTTCATTGTTGAGTTTGCTTTGAAACCAAAACAAATTAAAACGAGCGTAGACAGCAATGATAGCAATTTTATTGTACTTTATAAAAGGATATAAATATAGTACTGTAAAATATTCATTTTGTGTATAAGGTGTCTATATAGTTAATATTATTAGGTTTGTATTGACGAACCAAAACACTGGAACCATGTCATGAAACCTATTCTTCCCTTATAATTGTTATGTTGTGTAATAGTATGTTGTATAGTTTTAAATTGTGAAACTTGTACATAAGGTATGCAGCTGTATATAGTTGTAAATGATAAAATAAATGTGAACTGGCTTGCTATACAATACCTTGTACTGCTGTAAATATGTGTATGAGAGGTAAAGGTGAACTCTGCGGGTATAAATCAGATATTTATCTTCGTATTTTCTCCTTATTAGATGTAGGCCAAATCGTTGGTTTTGGTATGAACGGGCTACTTTGAAAGCAAAGGTGATGAAAAAAGCTTCCTAAATTATGCCAGAGAGTTTCTACTAGTGTTCATAGATTAAGTGAGTGCGACTTGAGGTCACTGTACATTTTTTGGCCTAGTATAACGGAAATTCCCTATTGTGTCAAACCTGTGCCGGTATTCCATTTGTCTTGACAGTGTAAAAATTATATAATACCTTATACTGCCACATCAGATAAAAAAAAAACACTGGTGTTTACATGGGTGTGACACAGGATAACATTGACAATAATAATAATAATAATAACACTATTTAATAATAACACAATTTTCAAGAAAACAAAACTGTTTACAACTTACAATGCCCGAAGGAAGACTCGGAAACAATGATCACAAGACAATAAAAGGGTGGTAAAAATGGTCAACGGTTAGGTCTTAATAAATATAATCAT